AGAACCAGTTTAAGAACCGAACCATTTTGAACCGAATCGAACCGTTTTCAAACCGAACCAAATATATTTTTATAACTTTATTTTATAAATTTTAAATTTTCTTTTCTTTTCAAAAGAGGGTCGATCCGAACCGGTTCCGAACCGAACCAGATTTGAACCATTTAAATAATTTCGGTTCGATTTTTTAAAAAATTCAGTTTGGTTCGACTCATGCACATCCCTAGTTCTGCGCCTGGTTGAGGTTTAAGACTAGGATAATCAAATAATAACCCCCCAAATAATATTCTATTCGAGGTATTATTAATTGTGATATAAAAAAAGATGAGCACACTCAAACGAAAATAAAATTTTGAACATAAATGAAATGTTTTTCTATGATTAAAAATAAGAGTTAAAATATTCAATAAAACACTTAATGAAGCTAATATCTTTTTTTCGCAGTGTTTGAAAGGGTTAAAAAAATATTTGACTCCATTTACAAATCAATTTCTATATTTAAAATTCATAATAAAAAATAGCAACCGATTTCATTTTAGTCTCAGGATTTTCATAATATCAACTTTGTAATCAAATGGTACTCATTCTACAATATTCTCTCTTCAAATGTTTTTTAATTTTACCTTTGTTATTAAAACTGCTTTTTCTTAATCAAACATTAATGTCATAACTCAAACTAGATAACAGATGGGGTGGCGGTGATTTTCGTTTACATCAGCAATGTAGGAAAAAAAAAACTGAATCCTAATCATCAAAGCATGTGAGTAGAGCACTGAATAAGTTCTAAATTAAGCTATATCACCAAATCAAAGTGTCTAACGTCGCATTCAGATTCATCTATTTCTCTAAACTTGAGAAGCATTAATACAGCATTGGTTTACAATTAAATGTTTTTTTTCTTTTCTATGTAAAACTACATTTATAATCAAAAAGCATAACTTAAAAGAATGAGTATATATATATATATTATAAAATTCAGTTATGTATCAAATTCACCACCGAACCTGAATCTATGATTGCATGGTAGCTCTTCTCAAAGAAGCACTTCCAGTTTTGGATTCTAGCACCACCGCAGTGCCGCGCTTATGGGATGTTTCGCTTAATTAGTTTATTAAGCGTGAATGCGTGACGCAAGAAACCATGACAAGGAACGATTGGCACCTTTATAAGGTGATCTCTCTAATGGTTGCCTGGGAAAGAAAAAAAAACAGGAAAATGGGGCCATTTAGGTACATTTTTATTTTTTTATTTTTATTTTATAAAAGGAAAGGCTAAAAATCTGGAATTTTCACGTGGTTCTAAACAATCCTTACTTTTTTTTTTAATAAGATTTTACCCAAAGTCCTATACAACTAGAAAAATCCTGTATAGCGAGGGAATTGCTATGAAAATTCCGTCACTAATTTCATCATCGCTACTACTTTCTCTCGCAAATTCCTTCGCAAACGATTTTGCGAGGAAATTTACGAGAGAAAGTAGTAGCGAGGATGAAATTAGCGACGGAATTTGCATGGCAATTCTCTCGCTATACAAGATTTTTCTAGTAGTTAATTGTTAAGATTCTTCCCTTGGCTCTCAAAAAGCTTATCAACCGATGTGCTGCATTATGGATACCTAATACATTTTTCAGTTACTGATATTCTTACACCCAAAATTTCATATCTAGTCATTTTTTTCCATCTAAATTAAAAATTCAGTTGAAGCACATTCTCAAGACTCAAATTTGAGAGCTTTTATTAAAGAGAATAAATTCCTTACTACTTAAATCAATAGTTATTCGTTCACACCAAGTTATTTGGTTATTGATAAATTAACTTTGTGGCTAACAATTAATTAATATTGCAGTTTCTTACTTAAAAATATATTGTTAATTTGTTAGCTAAAAATTAATATTATTAACTAAAAAATAACTCATAAGTAAATTAGCATACATGAATAATAGAGTTTCATACTTAAAAGAAACATTTTCCTATACTTTAGGTCCTAAACTTGCTTATACGTCAACGTCAAATTAATGTATATAACGAGAGAAACGAGAGAGAAACGAGAGAGAAAATGAAACGCAAGCTGCTTCACCTTTCGACTTTTGAGAATAACAATCAGAAAATGGCTAAAGTTTTTGTGCTTTTATTACAACTCCAAGCTATACAGGTGAGCGCGTTTGTCATGCAATATTTTTTTTTTCTTTTTTTTTTAAAACTTAAGAAGTGTTTTAAAATTCCACTTGGTCATCAACTTGATTGAGGTGTGTTGGGTATAGCTCATAGTTCGCATGCTGAGTAGGGTCCTTGTTATTGGGGTCAGCAGAAAGACACTTTGATTTATTGTAATTTTTCCTTTTTTTAGAAGTTTGAGTCAATGAATAGCTGCGGTTATAATTTTCTAATTTTATTTATATTCTTCTTGTAAACTGAGTGACTTGTAACAAGTGGTTGTTAGGTGAATATAGTACAAACAAGCTAGATGTAGCCTAAATTGAGTAAAGCAGGATAAATCAATGTATCAATTCTCTCTCTTTTTCTCTTTTCGTTTTGCGATTTGTGTGTTGGGTTAGTAATTCAACTGGATCTCAAAATAATATATAACAAATATTAAATTATGAGTATTATGTCAAAAAAATAAAAGTGATCCAGTAATAAGCTTTTCGATCCTCAAATAAGGGGGACTCAAGTTAAAATTTCATTGCTGACAAAATCTATATATTTTACACATTTTAACATAAAAATGAGTGAATCGCGGGTCATGACTGGTTCACCGGGGGTCATGACCGATTGCTTGGAAGTATTCCACTTATCAATATTATAAATTTAAATAAAATAAACAAATATTGTAATTAATATACATAGGATATATATAATTAACTTTAAAAAAATTTAAAATTTACAGAAATTAAATTTTAAAATTCAAATATTCTAATTTAATAATAGGGTCTGATTACATAGATTGATGACACAATTACATTTGTTTTTCCTGATCAGAAAATTCCTCCCAAATTTCCGTCTAAACTATTTAATCTTTTGTCGATGTCCAACCATCTATTTATAATAATTTATTTCCATTTTTTTAATTTAATGATGAATTTTTAATAAATAGCTCCTCGATATTAACTTTAGAATTTAGATGATAGAACCATTGTTGTCAAAAACTAGTGTAAAAACATAAAAAATTATGTTTTTACGCTTTTATTAAAGTGGTGCGTGTTAAAACGCAAGTAAAAACGGTCTTTGATAAAAACTGGTAAAAACGCCGTGTAAAAATGGCAAAAACTTGTGTTTTTACTGTTTTGACCGTTTTTACTTAAAACAATTTTTTTTTTAAAAAAGATTTACAAAAAAAGAAATTAAAAAAATCCAATTTTCGTTTTCCTCAAATCACATGCACATATCTTCATATCTTTTTGTTTGGATATATGACTTTTATAATTATGTCTTATAAAACTGTAATTCTATTATAAGTTATGCTATGAGAATTGTTTTGTGTTTTTGAATCATTGTGTGCATTGATAGAAGTGAAATTATATCCTGATCCAAAATTGCCGTGTATGAAGCAGTTAGAACAGATTGATTATCCATTAGTTATCACTGTTTATAATTTTGATATTTGGTTATCAAAAATAATTTTCTTTTTTAGATAGATAAGTGGCTCAACACACATCTTTATATGTGATATTTTTTTTACATATATATATATATATATATATATATATAAAATTTTATATCTTGATCTTAAGTAGTATAATGTAGAAACTTTACGTTTCGTGTCGTTTTTACGTTTTACGTTTCTACCACCCATTTCCATTTCTACGTAGAAACTCGAGTTTGACAACATTGGATAGAACTGGTATTTGACTGAACACTTTATTACCCGCAGTGGAAATTATCCTAACCCGCCGTTTATTTATGCATTATAAATTGGGGTTTGATTTTCTCATGTTAAATGAGAATTCAATTCTCATGTTATAGAGATAAAAAAACATGTGAGACCCATGTGTTAGAAAAAATTATATGTAGGACCCATGTCAGCACGGAAATCGAAGGGTGTGTAGGAAAATTTAAATTCTCATGTTAAATGAGAATTATAAAACCCTTATAAATTTTTTTTATTAATGGAGTGAAAAATAGATTGGGGTAAATTTATCTTTAAATCAAGTGAGAAAACCTATTAGGATTGAGGAGGATTAATTTTTTTTTTCTACATTCCAATCGACTCTTTTTAGTCCTATATTTCTTTTTTCTTTTTTTTTTTAATTTATTTCCGTTTTTGCAATTTCTTCTTGTTTTTTGTTTTGGTTTATTGGTCGTCCATCCCAATTAATTTGAGAAACATATAACATTGATGTTATTTTTAATTTACAATGATAGTAACAAACATTTGAGCACACTTTTTTTTTTCCAAACTAGAAAAATATAAGAAAGTGCAAACAATATGGTAATGAAATAAAAGAGTCAATTATTTTTCTTTCTACTTTGTTGAGTACCTATATAATGTTTTACTTTTTTGCGAAGGATTTTACCTAATCACCATCTTTATTTTGAAACTACGTGAGTAATTTATTAAGATTAAAAAAAAAAACCTTAAAATGTCAGCAACTACTGAAAACCACATCCCAATTCTCTTTTTTGTTACTACATACCATCCATCCCTTTGCTGAGAGCTCACATGTATGCATGCGTTACGGGACAAAAATTTCTAGCGGTATCTAGCTAATGTGACGTACATATAGAAAAAGATTACCAAAAAAACCAAATCAGAACAGAGAAGCAAGCAGAAAGCAACAGAATGTTATCTTCTATTTGGCTTTTGCCAGAGTAATTAGTTTTCCTTCATTAATCAACAACATGTATAGCATCAGATTCTTACCAAAACATGCACCAAATCATTAGTCCTTACTTATAAATATATATAAAATGCATAGAGTATTCATCACATTACAAGGTCTATATTGTATCCCATTTCTCACAAGCATACCCCAAAAGAAGAAAGAAAAGAAGAAGAAGAAATTAAGAATGAAACTCCCCTTTTACCTAGTGATTTTCATTCTCTTTCAATTCCTCTTTCAATGCTCAAATGGCTCCAATATTATCCATCAGTCTTGCAAGGAGGCCTCCAAGAATGACCCAAATTTGAGCTATGATTTCTGTGTTGCATCCCTTGATGAGGCTGCTTCCAAGAACAAACCACCCACTAGCCTCGAAGCTCTTGTGGGCATGTCAATTCAGCTAACCAAGTCAAACGGAACCAACATCATTTCATTCATTTCAAAGCTCTTGAAGAACCAAACTTTTGATCAATATGCAAAGGCTTGCCTACAAGATTGCTTTGATCTTTACAAGGATTCACTTTCAAGTCTAGAAGATGCTATGGTTGCTTTCAAGTGCAAGGATTTGGACACAGCTGGTATAAAAGTGAGTGCTGCCTTGGATGACTCTGTTACCTGTGAAGATCAGTTCAAGGATAAGAAAGGTGAAATATCTCCTTTAACAATGGAGAACCATGTTTACTTCGAACTTAATGTAATATCTCTGGCTTTCATTCAAATGTTTCGCCAACACTATTGACGAAAAACATATAAACAATGTGTGTATTGTGAGTCTTTAAATTAATTTTATTAGCTTTCTAAATGCCTCTGTTATTGTATATCTATATATATATATATATATATATATATAATTGCAGCGTGTGTAATTTCTCTATTTGTTATGTTGTATTGACATTGAAATTATATAGTTTAAAACCTCTTCATATGGCAGAATGGCTGTGAACTTGTGAAGGTGTTTATTCTTTATGTTTTTTGTGACTTTTGGTTGATGGTGTTGCGTGATGATCACCACCAAAGTTTTTGATTCCTTTTAATAATTTTGGTTTTTGGATGGTGCCTTTTTTTTCTTTTTTCTTTTTTTTTTTGTGGAGATTGACCTCGTAGAAAAGTTAAGAGACCATTTTTCAGCATGATTTGACAAAGTGGACGATGAGGCCCACCATCCATCTACTTTGCACCTGGGTTGGGCCGTTTTCCCTGCTGGTGCAGGCCCAGTCTTTGTTGGCCTTATTATTAATTCCAAATATAATAAATGTTTTATTTTTTATTTAAAATGTTTTATTTTTGACTCCTTATTCATTTTCTTTAAAGTACGTATTGGCGATATTAATAAAACAAATAGTAAATTGTCGAACACCTTTTTATGTTAAGTCTCAATATTTTTCCTTTTTCATGTTATGACTAAACTAAAAAAAGCAACAACAAAATCACACTTAAGAAAACATTTGCTCTTTAATAAACAACAAAATCACACTTAACAAAATCACACTAAAAAAAGCAACAACAAAATCACACTTAAGTCTCAATATGCTCATGTTTTAAAAATGAAGAATTTGAATAAATTCCACCTACATGCATGGAATTTCTAAAGTTCCTGATATGTCTATTCAAACTTAACCTTCGTTTTAATTAGAAAGTTATCATCCCCTTATAGGGATTAAGCAATACTTCACATTGGGCTTCTTCATCTCTAAACTAAGCCCAACAGTACCTTCACAATAATAGAAGCCACTCTAGCTCCGTCTAGCCCCTTCTTCTAAGACCTATTTACTCAAATTCATTAAAATCAAAATCTAATAAGCATTGACGTCAAAACAAAAGCACTCATCAATTTAGTAAAATATTAAGCTCTGCATTCTATACTTGTAATTCAATAAGTAAATTCAGCTTCAAATTACTATATAAGCATAATAGACATGCAGCTGTATGTTGACATAGAATTTGATTGGCTCGTAGCGCTGATAATTGTGAAGCCCTTTAAGTTAGATGAGTTTATGAGAAACTTCAAGGAAGTAAAGTTGCATCCTTGGTAAATGCTTGATCTGACAACAGCTTCTTTAATTTCTTGTACACTGATTTCCTTAACTTGATTTTGCCAAACAATGCAACTTCTTCTAATTATTTTTAGGAGAAGGATATACTTACCACTAAAAAAGTTTACAACCTTTACAACCAACCTAATCATCGTTGATTTTCGTCAATCTAACGATTATCATTTATTAGAAATTATTGGGTCGCATATATTAGTTAATTATTAATTCCAATAAATGATAACCGTTATATTGACGAAAATCAACGATGATTAGATTAGTTGTAAATGTGGTTGTTGCGTTCACAGCAAGTGCTCCGGTCGTACAAGTAATATAATATTTAAGTAAGAGATCGTTTCCACGAGGATTAAAACTCAATCACTAGTTCACTACTTTGACTTAAGTTCGACAATCGAATTTAGATTTGTAGGATCTGATTTGAAAATTAAAATACTAAAACTAATTAAGAACAAGAATTTAAAGATTTGAATTAATTAATAGAAAAGAACGTAGCTAGGGTTTCGATTTCCTTCAATCTATCTATTACATTTCAATTCCTTGTTTAATTTAATCGTCCTTAATATCAATCAAATCAATTTTTTCTAATGTAATTAGGATTCAATCCTTTGATACCCTAAGTCTTTACAATCTTGCAAGTACCATAGTTCCTCGGTTATTCCCCAAGAAAGTCAGTATTATGTTCAAGAATCTTAAGACTGCGCAAAACCCTATGTCTATCCCTATAATCATAAGGATTACGATGAAATTGTCAGGTAAGGATCATGCATCAACATTCTTATTGTCATACAATTACCTAATATCAATCTACAAGATTCAAGCTCATAGAAGGTATTAATAAAAGACAATTTCATTCATGATAAAAAGGAAATTAACTTAAAGAATTGTTCAAAGCATAATAAAGAAATTGAATTCCATCTAACACTAACTACTATGAAATTTAGCCGGGCATAGCAAAATAAAAAAAGAAAGAAAATATCAAAGCTTCCCCAAACTCCATAGTTGATTGGTGAATCTTCAATACTTCCGGTGCAGACTCGTTTCTGTTCCGTCTCCGCCTCTCACGAACATGAACTGATGTTCCCTTCGCTTCTCCGCTGCCTCTAGTCACCAAGAATTCTTCAAGAATGTGAAAAAGTATGTAATTCTACCCTAAATTGTGTTTTTTTAGCTCAAGAATTCGTGCCCTAGATGGTTATTTCAAGTGGGCCTAAGTTGGGTTTCTGGGGTGCTGTGGGGCGCTTAAGCCTCTTAGCTGATGCATGAAAATTTTATGTGGCGCGCTTAAGCGCGCTGATGGGCGCTTAAGCGCGCACTTCGAATCATAACTATTACTCTTGGTCGCGCTTAAGCCTTGAGTTGGGGGCTTAAGCGCCCTCAGGCAGTGACTATTTGCTCATAAATGGAATATTTAGAATTTTAGGGGGCTTAAGCCCCATATTGGAGGCTTAAGCCTTCTCTTCAAGAACTTCGTTTTGTTTCTTTTTCTTCAATTTAGATCTTCAGATCATCAGCTCTTGATCTTTATCTCTCAAATCTTCATATTTTCTTCCAATTATCATCAAATTCCTTCAAAACAAGCAAATACAATTTATTTAATTCATAATTCACAAGTTCATGTTTTTATGTCAATAAATCCTAGTTTCTACTCATTTAACTTGATAATTGATATAATATTTGTCTATAAAACAAGATAAACTAAATATTTATCAGTGGTAAAATTTTTTGGTGGTAAGTATATTATGCCCCTTATTTTTATTATTTTCCAAACGGGCTACAATTGGTATTTTTTTTTATTATTATTAAAAATTATGTATATCGAAGATCAAACTGTTTGACTGCACTCTTGGTAAGATGTATGAGCGTTGGAGACCATCATGTCATAGATTTTTAACTTAAAATCTTCAACTGGCAGTGCCCACACTCAACCCCAGTTAAATGATGTCCTTGTTGAATGTGCCTTATTTTGTTTTCGTTCATCTTTTGTATCATGTTTTTTTTGTTTTGTTGACGTTTGACTACACTCTTTTACAGCATTATTTGAAAAGGTCAGAGAATATAAGCGGTGGAGTTGATAGAACTTTGTCTAGAAAAACTGAAAGTAAAATCTCTAGTTGGTTATGAACGTGTTGATGTACTTATAATGTAGTAATGATGACTAACTTGACGGCTAAAGCAGCGTTTTAGAACTTTTGAGCAAAAAAATCTTCCAATTAAAATTGATTGGATAAGTTTTTCCAAACTAATACAGTCAAATACGTCATTGATAATGACGAGATTCATGCCAATCAGCGCCACATAGGCAGTCCTGTTACCGTAAAATTTCGGAAGGCCGAAACTTTTGACTCGGGTATCCAAATCAAATACTTTTTTTTGATTTCAAATAACTTTTCGAGATCTACGTAGTGACACCTTATTTGACATATTTTATCTCCCACAAACATAGTTGAAATTGCAATAATAGTTCCACAATTACAAGATCATTTAAATCCAAAAGATCCTGAGTTCTTTCCGAACCAACACCATGAGCTGCCGCAGTGCCATCTTCTGGATTTAAATGCTCTTGTGATTGTGGTATCATTTTTACAAATTCGAGCTATGTTTGTGGGAGATAAAATATATCAAAAATGAGGTGTCATTGCGTAGATCTCGAAAAGTTATGTGAAATAAAAAAATCATCTTATTTGGATACCCGAGTCAAAAGTGTAGCCTTCTTAAATTTTACGGTAACAGAACTATCTATGTAGCGTTGACATGGCAAGAGTCCACTAGTACCGTCAATAGCAATAACGTGTTTGACTGCATCACCCAATAACTTTAACCGCACAATTCTTTTGCTCAAAAATCTTGTAATGGCGCTTTTCCTCTAGACATAAGATTGTGTTCTTTGTTTCCTATAAAAATGTGTGGTAAAATCAAAATTTTACTTTATTATTTGGATTCACAAAATATTTATGTTTGAAACTATTGGGAAGATGCAGCAACCACGATTTGCATGCCACACAATTAAGGTAGGATCAAAGTTCAAATCCTATACTAAGCAATTGTTAGAGGGTCTTCTAGTAGCGAAAGTACCTAATTTGTGAATTGCATATACCATTTGAGTCGTGCTACATCTCACCGATAGTTGAGAGAGAGAGGATAAGACTTGAAAAAGGGTATTCTAACATAGCAGCTTCATAGGTTCCTCACATTTTATTTTGAGATCATCAAGTACAATTTTCAGCCACAGTAACTCACAAATGCCTTGAGCCATAGCTCGAAATTCAGCTTCTGCACTTAATCTGGCAACCACATCTTGTTTCTTACTTCTCCATGTCACCAAGTTACCGCAAAGAAACATGCAATAACCAGTGGTAGAACGACAGTCAGTCACGGATCCAGCATAATCAGCATATGTGTAGACTTCTAAAGATAGATTGCCATCACGTCGGAATAACAATCCTTTACCAGGAGTACCTTTAAGATACTGAAGAGTTCTTTCTACTGCCTGCATGTGTTTTTCTTTTGGATCGTGCATAAACTGACTGACAACACTAACAACATAAGCTAGGTCTGGTCTAGTATGGGCCAGATATATCAATTTCCCAACTAGCCGTTGATATTGTCCTTTATCAACTGGAGGACTCTCTTCTTCATATCCCATCTTGTGATTCTGCTCAATAGGAGTATTAGAGGGTTTACACCCGAGCTTTCCTGCTTCTTTGAGAAGATCAAGAACAAATTTCCTCTCGCTGATAAAAATTCCTTTGCTTGAATGAGCTACTTCTATCCCTAGGAAATATCTCAGTTTCCCAAGGTCTTTGATTTCAAACTCAGAGGCAAGCCGTGTTTACAGAATCTTTCTCTCCACAAAATCATCACCTGTAATAATAATATCATCAACATATACAAGGAGCACAGTAAGCTTCCCATTTTGGGAGTGCTTGAAGAAAAGAGTGTGATCTCCTTGACTCTGTCTGTATCCTAAGGTCATCATAACCTTAGTAAATCTTTCAAACCAAGCACGAGGTGACTGCTTTAATCCATACAAAGCCTTTTTTAATCTACAAACTTTATTTTCCCCCTTCACAGAATCAAAATCAGGCGGGATTTCCATGTAGACTTCTTCTTCTAACTCACCATTGAGGAAAGCATTTTTCACATCAAATTGATTTATATCCCAATTGTAATGGGCAGCAAGGGATAACAAGATTCTCTTTGTATTCATCTTTGCAACTGGAGCAAAGGTTTCTTCATAATCAATGCCATAGGTTTGAGTGTAACCTTTGGCCACTAATCGAGAGCCTTATATCTCGCAAGAGTGCCATCAGAATTATATTTCAGGGTATAAACTCATCTGCACCCTACTGCTTTCTTTCCGTTGGGTCTATCAATAACCTCCCATGTTTTATTTTTCTCCATAGCATTCATCTCCTCTTGCATGGCTTGAGCCCAATTCCTATCTTTCAAGGCTTCATGTACTGATTTTGGGATTGCAATAGAATCTAGTGCTGAAACAAAGCTTTTGTGCTGCACAGAAAGATTGGCAGAGGAAACAAAGTGGGAGATAGGGTATTGAGTACAAGAGGGACATGAGGAACAAGTTTTCTTGTGACAAGATCTTTTTCCTTTTCTAAGAGCAATAGGTAAGTCATCAGAAGTAGAAGCAATGGGTAAGTCATTAGAGATATCAGAAGAAATAGACAAATCATGAGAGGAAATAATATTAGAATCAGAAACAGGAGATTCAGGAGACTCAGAAGAAATAGGAGATTCAGGACTTACCAGTGGTTCAGACGATTGAGGTTGCTGGTGAGACAATATGGGTTGTATCAGGTGTATTTGAAGGTTCTGACACACCAGGAGCAGACACACTAGGAAGAGAGAAGATTGATCCAGACTCAAAGAAGGAAGGGGACGAGTCTTCTGAAGAACTGTTCTCCCCCTGACGATGAGGACCCAGGAAATAAGATTCAGATTCTTGAAAGGTAACATCCATAGAAACAAAAAATTTCTGACTTGGTGGATGATAACACTTGTACCCTTTTTTATAAGGGTTATAACCAAGGAAGACACACTTAAGAGCCCTATGATCCAACTTACTCCGAAGTTGTTTATGAACATGGACAAAGGCAACACATCCAAACACTCTTGGTGGAAGGCTCTGCAATATGGGAACAGAAGGAAAGAAGGAAGTCATGGAATGAATATGACTGATATTGTTAAGGACCCGTGAAGGTAAACGGTTGATCAAAAAAGTTGCAGCTAATACTGCTTCTCCCTAATAAGAACTAGGAACAGATGTCTGGAAAAGTAGTGCTCTAGCAACTTCAAGAAGGTGACGATTTTTCCTTTCAGCAACCTCGTTTTGTTGAGGGGTATCAACACATGTGAGCTCATGAATCATACCTCTGTCTGAAATGAATAGTGACAGGCGTTGATTGACGTACTCAGTACCATTATCAGATCTGAGTCTTTTAATACCCTTACCAAACTGAGTCTCAACCATGTGATGAAACCGAATAAATATCTCTGGTACTTCAGACATGTCTTTCATCAAGTATATCCATGTTATCCGAGTACAATCGTCAATAAAAGAAACAAACCACCTTGCACCTGAAACACTGTGCACTTTAGAAGGGCCCCAAACATCAGAATGGATAAGAGAAAAAGGTTCCCTGCTTTTAATAGTGCTAGAAGGAAATGACACTCGATGGTGTTTTGCAAATTCACAAACATCACAATGAAAGGTCTCAACCGACTTATTGAGAAACAGAGAGGGGAACATAGACTTTAAAAGACTAAATGGTGGATGCCCCAGACGCTTGTGATGGAGCCAAATCATAGACTCTGCAGTAGAAGGATGACGTGTCATTAATAACTGATTTTTGCTAGCATGGTCTGGAAGGAGATGATACAACCCATCCTGTTCATTAGCAACTCCAATTGTCTTCTTCGTGGTAAGATCCTGAATAAGACAATGAGAAGGAAAAAATGTGATAGAACAATTCAAATCAGTTGTAAGTTTTTGAGTGGAGATAAGATTAGTAGAAAGCTGAGGAACATAAAGAACATTTTTAAGAAACAAGGAAGGTTGAATTTGAATGTTACCAGAACCAATAACTGATTTATGGGATCCATCAGCTACGGATATAGTATGACTACCAACAGTAGGATGATAAGAACAAAACAACTCAGTACGACAAGCCATATGATCAGTTGCACCAGAATCCAAAATCCATGAGGTTTTAAAATCAGTGCAAGAAGCAAGAAGAGATATAGAACGTGTGCTCTTACCAGATAAGATCGAAGAACTATCATGCTCGGCCATTCTTTAACAAAAAAGTTAACAACCAGCGATAAAATCAACCAAACAGAATATCAAATGACCTCTGATCAGAAAAATAATCACAGATCCAGACAGAAGACAAGGAGACGAGAAGAATGGTGGTGGTCCGGTCCAAAAACACGGCCGCACGCGCCTCCACGCGCCGGAGAAAGGAGCTGCGCGTGGGATTCACTCGCCGGGAAAGGGGCGGCACGTGAGAGCGCGTGGAGGGGCTTCTCCGGCTGAGATTTTTCTGGTGTGGTCGTCCGGTGATCGCGCACCTGTCTGTGGGTGGTCGCGGTTGAAAAGTCACCGGAAAGTGGTCCAAATGGTGAAGACAGATCTGATTGGAGGCGGTCGGAGGTGTTTCGGTCGTTTGTGGCGGAGGAACAGTGCGTAGAATGATAGAACGGAGGAAAAATAGGGTCAACAATGGTCCCCTTGGTCCAAAAGATCCCCGGAAAAATTTTCCGGTGGCGGCTGATGGCAGCAAGAGGCAAAGAAATTAGGGTTTTGTTAAAAAAAGAAGATAATATGTGCGGAAGCAAAGCCCTCAGATCGAGAGCTCTGATACCAACTTGAAAAAGGGTATTCTAATATATTATAGAATTGTAAATAATCTGTACAAAAAGGGTTCTCTATTTATAGAGAATACTTGACCTAATTTTGACCTAATGGGCTTGGCCCAATACAACAAATAAATGACTAAATAATTATTATTTACAACAATAAGAAAAGCCAAGATATCCCTTATAAATTGGGGCAAATGTCTATGTAGCTGTTTATCTTTATGGGGAGCTTTTAAATGTGTGTTGGGTGTAATCACCATTAACTTGTATGTATTCTACCTATTTTGGAAGGTTAAAACAGTAATCTTATCGCACAACTGTTTTTTTTAGGTAAACTATTTTTTTTTTTGGAGTTACCCAACCCTAATTACCTCTTTGAGGCGAGTTGGCTCCCTCCGGTATCCCCACGAGCTTCGACTCTTTGAGCCGGCTATGGGACTAATCCGGAGTGCGGGGGAGCAGTGATGGCTAAAGGTTCAGCCCCCTCCCCAAGAATCCAAATTACCAACTGAGCTGCACCCATTGGGTTTTTTTTTGGTAAACTATTGCACAACTGTTTTAACTAAATGTTAGCTGAGTATTGGAGAAAACTATTGTTATTAGCTAAATTATCACACATATTGTAAAGAACCACTTCAACTCAAAACCTTAAGGTGTTGAGTGAAGGCCTTTTTAATGATTTATATTATTTTCTAACACACCTCTTCACGTAAGAACTCTTTGGACTTGAAGTGTGGATATTGCATAGGCCCAAGTGGGGGGCGGTGAGATCGAACTCGTGACCTGATGGTCACTTAAGCTCTTACCATGTAAAGAACTACTTCAACCTAAAACCTTAAAGTGTTGAGTGAGGACTTTTTTAATGATTTATATTATTCTCTGACACCTACGAGGCTTGCCTTTCAATAAGCAATTTTTTTGGCAATATTCTCCATAGGAACAAGTGATTTTTGGCATGTTTATCTGGTATGAGGAGATCCCTTGCCTTTGGTTTCTAAGAATTCATTCTTCAGAATTTACCCAAGGGTGACAGGAACATTTGGCAATTCCATGCTCTACTATAATATGCTATAAATCACCTCAAGCAAAAATTAAATTGTTTTGTCCATCCACTGTGGTCCTTAGTGGGTAATTTGTCATCTGTGTGACCTTAGGAAGCTTCCGCAGTTAAAATCGTTCTCATGAAAGCACCGCTAAAGCTTACTTTTTATACACATTATAACATTTCTGCAACACCTCCTTATACAACGTAATGTAAAAGCTAAACGGTACTTACTGTCTTGTTATGGAAAATTAAGCAACAAATACGAAGCTATTAAGGAAACTTCCTTTATAATAGTACTTCCCACTTCTTGAAATCCTTCATTTATATGAACCGCACATTCTTTAGCTATAGCTCTGCACCAACATTCACACCACTTTCAGTGTATATACCAAATAAATAATGTTGCAGTCTTCTTTCTTGTGCTTCTCTTTCAGCCATTTTCTCTTGTTTCTTATCACAATCCCTCTTGGAACAAGCTCTACCTTGAGCAATGACATAATTGACCAAACCTGCAAAAAATGTGCCAACCAATCCATCATCTTGAGCTACAACTTATGCTCAACATCTCTTCCACTAATTCCAGTGAGTCACTCCACAAATCTTCAAGGGCTGGCGTTAATTGCAATGGAGCTAGCTCTAGAGAATGTGACTAACACTCTGGCAACCATAGAGAAACTATTAGATAGTACAAGCTTTGATAACATTGCTTTGGGATGCTTAAAAGATTGCTTGGAACTATACACTGATGCAGCATGGACAATAGTGAATTCCATAGGAGTTTTCTTGTCTGGGAATTATGAAGTAACTAGGACGTGGATGAGTTCAGTTATGGAAGCAGCCTCAACATGCCAGAAAGGTTTTGTGGAGAATGGTGAAGTTTCTCCTTTGACAAAGGAGAATTACAATATCTTCCAGTTATGTGGTATTGCACTTTGCATCATCCACTTGTCTACCCCTGCAATTGCAACACCTTCTTAATTATTAACTCACACATCAAGATATGCTGTCTTCCTTACTAATAGAAAATAAAGTTGAGACATTAGTATCTCAAAATAGACAATAAAAGTTACAGACAATATTGTTATGTTTAAAGAGATAGAAAGTAGAAACTTTGTCCCTCAAAGTTCAAGTTTCTAATAATCTAACTCCGTATCCGTTCCAGTAAGACGTTATTAACATAAAACTCGGAACTAAAGATATTTTGGATAAAAAGGGTTAAACTCAATAAGTGTCGGCTATGATGTTTATTAAATAGACAAAGTAGTTGCACGATAAATAGTAAGATAACATTAAGATAAAATATAAACATAATTAAGAATATCATATAATAAGTTGTTGGGAAAAGTGTTTATCATTTTAAATGACACAACTTATATTTTTTCACTCTCACAAAGAGGTGGGACCTACACCTTTATTTTTTTTGTCAACTCTCTCTCCTCCTTTATCTATCTATTTCTCTCTTTTAAAATAACACAACTTTAAATCTTTTAAAATGATACACACCTTACCCTAAGTTGTTATCCTCTATATTATCAATAGCATCGTAATGTTGGAATATTAAATATGGGGAAAAAGTTTGTCCTTTTGATAAAAGTTGTGTTCTTTTAATTTTTAACACTATATACTACGGGTAATATATAGTTATAATGTGAAAAATTGTTTTTTTTTTCTCTTTTCTACTTATAAAGTGAAAAAAACAATTTTTCATATTATAATTATATACTACTTGTAATACATAATATTAAAAATTAAAAAGATATAACTTGTATCTTTTTAAAGGACACACACTAAATCCATTAAATATTGGTATTCCAATTTGTTATCGCAAAAATAGTTTATCCTCATACTCAAAATTAACCACCCTTTTATATTTAATTATTGCGCTCCAAAATGAAAATTTTCATATTTAAATATGGGTTTTATGTTTCTCCTTCTTCAAGAAAAAAAAAACCTTTCTGCACACACAATAACTTTTACTTTTTTTTTGTGTTTTTGTTTTTTAATATAAGTCTTTAATGAGTCAGTAGAAAAAAGTTTTATTTTTCCAATAAAATGAGAAACATATAACTCATTAAATATAGATTGTGATATTTAAATATTCAAAGATATTAAAATACTTTAATATCAATCTTTAATGTTTGAATATTACATGGATTAAGTGTTTGATTGATATGTATTATTTTTAACTTTTTTTTCTTCTTAAAAGCATAAACTACATAATTTTATAAAAGCTCTTGCTGTAAAAAGAATTTTATTTTATTTTATTTTATTTTTTTAATAATGAAGGAAAAAGTTATAAGTTGAAAGCTCCACGAGTTTTTTCTTAAAGATGTATGCTAGACCGAATTTAACATAAATAAGATACGAATTTGAAATTGGGTTAAAATCTTCGACATGAATCCTTTAACTCGTTTATTCTGTGAGTTGACATGACATGAAAAACACGTAAACTCATAATGTATTGCTTATTATGCGAGTTGACACGACATGAATAACCTTTCAACCCCAAATTGTATTACTTATTATGGGGTCGACACGACACAAGAATACATGAATAACCTATTTACGACATGACATAGATAACCTGTAAGAAAATTAATACGAGTCAATTTCATATTCGAAAGTTGACACGTGATATAAGAAGAATTTTTTCGGATCAATTTTTATTAACTCAAACACGACACAAATTTAAAAACAGGTTGATGTAAATAGAAATTTTGCATGTCGTGTTGAAAATTGACACCCTAAAGCCAGCCTTTTGAATTCCTCATAGTACAATTTTGTCCTTATTCTAAACGTGTATTATAGAATTTATAGTCTATCCTAATGATTTATTCTAATGACAAATCATTTCATCTACTCCTATAAAATTCTAAAAATAACTTTATATAATAACCAAATAATTTTTAACTTTATTAATTAATTTTTTTTTAACTTTAAGTTAAAAATAGCTTTTAATTTAAAAAAGATGTGCCAAACAAACTTTAAGAGATATACGACGAGACGAGCATGAAAAACATAAATAGAAATCTGCTTTTAATAATTTCTCTACTGTAATTTGTATTTAAAAAAAGGCTAAAATCCAGGTAGACAACGCACTAAAAATAATAATAATAAGAAAAAAGATTACAATTCTACCTAACCACCATAATTAGAAGAATTTCTTTCTTGTTTTCGATGTGGTGAATTTGTTTGGTTGCTTTTCCGATTTTTTTAAGAGAGAAAATCAAAAGAGAAAATTTTCAGAGGATTCAATTGGATTCATAAAGTGAAGTAGGAAGCAAATCTGAAGCGGATTCAATTGATTTTGTAAAAATGGCGCCAGTTTCAGCTCTTGCAAAGTACAAGCTGGTGTTCTTGGGCGATCAGTCCGTCGGCAAAACCAGCATCATCACTCGCTTCATGTACGACAAATTCGACAACACTTATCAGGTTTTCTCTCTTCTTTTCAGATCCAAATCTCAATTTCTCCAACCGGATCTTGTTTCATCATCAACCTTTACGTGCCTCAATCAATCACTCTCCGTTTAGTACTTAGTATGTTGTGCTAAAATGCTGATGATTACTATGTTGATCATGGATTAGATTCAAATGTTTTTTTTTTTTTTTTAATTTCTTTTTTTGAGAGCTGGTTATATAGAGATCGATCGCGGTTTTGCTATGATTTATGGTAACGTACGTGTTCACTGTTACACCCAGGCAACACTACTACTAAATATTACTAATTTTAGGTCTATTAATTATTATTATTTTTTTGAAAAATGTTGAAGGATACGGAATTATATTTATTTTTTAAATATTGTTATTTTTCTCTCTTCAACTATGATTTGTTATAAGAAGTTTGTAACAATATTCGTCCTAAACTTTTTAGCCAATTAGGATAACTGATATTTTTAACATCTTTATCGAGTATGAGACACATCTTAAGGGGAGCTTGTATGGAGGGAATAGGACAGGGAGGAGAGAAACCAGTTTCCATCATGGGTTTTTTGTAAGGACAAAGAAGGGTACAAGGTGGATTGAAAAATGTGATCTTTAGATTTAAGTTGTGTAACTTGTGTCTTTAAAGCTCGAACTATATGTGGAGGTCAAATACCCAAGTTTAGCCGTGAATTATTTGTTCCTCTTTTAATTGCCTTTTCTTACCATTTGTGTAACGGTAAGAACAGGACCCACTTTGAAAATTTATCCACTAATCTCTTAACCTTTGTAGTCATGCGGACTCATGCAAAATAATATTGCAAAATAATATTCAGAATTTTGTGTATGTATTCTCCTTTGTGACCGAAAGGTCACTTGTTCAAATTCGAGAAACAGTTTCTTTACAAATAATAAATATGCAAGGATAAGGCTACGTAGAAGGATTGTCCTCACCCCTATCCTTGCTAATCTGGGTTTAATGGAGAGTGGAGTGGTTTATGTATGTATTCTCCCGCCTTTGCTTCCTTTTCCACCTGCAAGTGAAACCATAAGAGTTAACTTATTTATATTCTTTGTTTTCCTCCTACTGTGGACGCATGCATTTCTGTACTATAAGGTTATCATTCAACTAAACTGTCTCATGCAAATTCTTGCACTATGCGCTTTTCCATTTTTTCTAAATTGATTTCACGTTTTATCTCTGACTAGTACTCAACTTATTTTTCCTTTTGCCAAACAGGCTACAATTGGTATTGATTTTCTATCAAAAACCATGTATCTTGAAGATCGAACTGTTCGGCTGCAGTTGTGGTAAGATGTGGCTTGATCATTTTGAAAGCTCTATTAGGTGGGTTAAGGAAAAGGAATGGTATTTGAGAAGAAAACAGAAGTGGAAGCAAGGGTCACATTGTTTGGTCTAAAATGAAGAGGGAATGGCTGAAGGGGAGTGCCAATGCATTTTATTTTAATAATATAATTTTGCTTTCATTCATTAAATGTAAAGAGATATTGGAATACTAAAGTTTGGAATCTTGTAAACATAAAACTTCCGTGCAAGCGAGGGATGAACAATCCCGCCCTTCCTCTTTTTTTGTCTCATCCAGTCCAAAAATATGCAAATTATTGGACTGTACAAGCATCATACTTTAATGTTTATCTTGTTTCTTCTGTATGTTATACTTCATTTTTTATTTCAAAGATTTATGCAGTATATCAGAGAGTGCATGTGTGAAGATGTGATATTTTATGATTGCTAACATCAAAGTTGTTTCATTCCTTTTCTGGAAAATTTATCCATTTAGTTTTAAGGTCTTTTGCCTTTATCTCAACCTTTTAGTCTTAATACAATGTCCGTTTGCAATGGCTTTAACTATTATTAACTAGGGGAAGGATCCGTTTACAAACTTTTTTGACAAATTTTTACAAATTACACTATGTTCTCCCGGGAGAACATAGTGAAACTAGTGTTCTCCTGGGAGAAGATAATGTAGTTTGTAAGAGTTTGTAAACAAAAAAGTTTGTAAATATAACCTGCCCCTATGAACTATTCTGCTCTTAATTATAAACGCTGAATATGATGCTATAAGGCATCTTGGAATCTGCAGCATTTGGTGTTTATAATTTTAGTATTTGATTTATGTTTTGTATGTTTGGCTTTATGTTCTACTTCAATTGTTGAAAAATTGATGCATATTGACAAACCAGAATGAGGTCCATGAAGTTTGCTGTGTTTAATTCACATATAACCATTACTGATAGGAAATAGGTATTTTATTACAGAGAAATAAGGATAAACCTCAAGGGTATGCAAACCTCAAGAGTATTTTATCAGAGGTCAGAATCACTCACAAAACTAGAAAATAAAATATAGAACACTGCAGAACTTCAAGGGTATGCAAACCTCTTTGCTCAAAGGTCCCAAAAGCCAAAACCCACTCAATGACTGGATGTCCTCTGCCCTACCTTTCCCTCCCTTTTATCTTTGCTTCTAATGGTTTCCCCTTCCTTCCCACCTTCCTTTCCTTGTAGGCAAGGTTGTTTCAACCCAAATCCCTCTACTGCCTCTTATTCATAATTCCCATATGGCCTAGCATAGTGTTGCCTATCAATTACACTATTACTTTATTATTGAATTTCCTTTTTATTTCTTTCCTTTCAAAATCATCATTTATTTTTTCATGTGTTGTGACAGGGATACAGCTGGACAGGAAAGATTTAGAAGTCTTATTCCAAGCTACATCAGGGACTCCTCTGTTGCTGTCATCGTTTATGATGTTGCAAGTATGCTATTTAGATATGTTTTCTTTTTATCTATTCCTTTCTTGACAGTTTATTTTTTTTTTGCAGATTTTGTATGTGGAATATGTATGTGGCATATTAAATAATAATAATAAAAATTCAACTTATTTATATTATTCCTTTTTCTTTCTTTTGGACATGAGTAAAATGTTCATTTTTCACATTCTTGGAAGTGAAGCCCTTTCCACCCGTCTTTTCCCATTCCCCCCATTTTGGTTTTGTTTTTTTAATGTATAGACTACATTAAAGTAAGTGAATACTTTTAACCAAAAAGTGAGTAAATATGGAATTAACATGTGGCTTCCCCAGAGTCTGGAGGTACCCGTGTCAATTAGGTGACACGTTATCAAAAACTAGAATTTCTGAAGAAGTAGCTTTCTCTAACAGCTGCTGCCCATTATCCTTAGCCAACTTCCTGAATCTGTCTGGATGACTTAAATCACGTGTGCATAATTTTTTGTTCACTTTTCCAGAACACTTTGATGGATGCGTTCTCATTATTCAGTATTTTTATGATATATAGGCCGTCAGACTTTCCTAAACACATCAAAGTGGATTGAAGAGGTGCGCAGTGAGAGAGGCAGCGACGTTATTGTTGTTCTTGTTGGGAACAAAACTGACCTTGTTGATAAGAGGTAATGGTTAATGAACAGTAGATTGACTTCATCATATAGATAGCTTATATTGGCCTGTTTGATAGAATGGATCCTTTGTTCTCTATTATATAATGACCTCTTTGATTTTGATTTTTGGCTAACTACTAATTCAACACCTAGAGAAAGTTTATGAGTAAGTAAAGAAGAAATTGTTGTGGTCAAGGGGAGTAGGTACAACTGCACAAATTATTATTTCATTCTAGAGACTAAAGAATAATAGTGCCTGCAGTAGATTATAAGGTAATTGTAAAATTTATGAAGCACGTGAAGGAGGATAATTAGCGTTTCATGGTGAAATGAGTTTTAAATTGGTTAAGATCTGAACTTAATAGCTAGGAGTTACTTTGCCACTGTGTCAGGCCTTGAATTGTCTCTAGAATTCCTTGAGAATGAATGACTCATGGCAAGTAGTTCATTAAGATAAAATGATAAACGTCTCAAGCTATATATTAGGCATATACAGCACCACTTTTTATTTACAATGCATGAAAGACATGGAGAAAACTATGAAAGAGTCTAATTTGCAGAAGAGCGTCTGCATTGCCAACATGGCATTTTTGTGGCTTTATTCAATCTCTTCTTTTCTTCAATATATTTATTATCAGTATTGTGTACGTACCAGAGAGATTTGTCTGGGGAAAAAGAGAGGACGGACAGTAAAAACTGTTAATCCAATAAAGCTTTCTGTCCTTTCACTGTTTTCAACTTTGCCCAGAAAAACTGTTTAAATATGATTTTTTTTTTTTTTTTTTTTTTTAATTTTCCTGCTGAAAACTTCTTATGAAAGAACATTTTTTTCCTGATTTGGTGAATTTGGAAATTGCTTCATTTTCCTTACTAGTACACTAAAAATGTTGCTAGTTTTTAGAAACGTGTCAGAAGGTCACTGTTCCCCATCTCATGGAAGATGAAGTGTTAGGCATTAGCAGAGCCCTGTATCCTATGATAGTCGTACGAAAGTGAGACCCTTATTTGCTCCTAGGCTTAAGTAGCTTGAATGATTTGGCCCCTCGATATGTTTCGTGCGCAATCTGCATCCTTGTTTTGATGTCTTCTATGAACTGCTTTACATTTCCTTTTAGTTACTTATTCCCAGCATGGGGATTGCTATGGTACCCTTATGGGTTTAATACCCAAGTGAGTTGTCAAGCATTTATTAACTAATGATTTTATAATAAATATTCAAAAATATATCGTATATACGAAATGTTTGATAACTTACCCTGGGTACCAAATCCAGGTAAAAAAGATGGGTACCGGAGTAATGCCCTCCTAGCATAGTCTTTTCTTTATGAGCAATATTCTTTACATGAGTCTACAGGCAAGTCTCTACTGAGGAAGGGGAAGCGAAGTCCCGTGAGCTAAACGTTATGTTTATTGAAGCAAGTGCCAAAGCTGGCTTTAATATAAAGGTAAGCCTTCCCCTCCTTTTGCCATAGATATTTAATAAATTTCTTGTTTACCATCAGCTTGAAATTATCTAAAAGAAAGCTATGCTCAACAGGCCCGGGGTGCATGTATTTTTCTTAATAATTTGCCTTGGAAGAATAAGCTAACTAGATTTTCTTGTATTGTCGATGTTTCAAATGGTTTAAATGTGGATAGTAGATCGCATCCATCTGGACTATTGTGTAGGTGTCATTTCCTAATTAGATATATCATGCAGAATTTAGACAAGAGTGGGTTGTTTCTACAAGTCAACTTATTAAAATTTTCCAAAAGTTAGCCTCCTGTATGTTAGATATACTTGCTTGCATTATGATTTATCTACTTGTTTTATGTTCCTGTTCCTGACATTTTATATTTACTACTTTATGAAACCGATATATTTAGGCCCTCTTTCGAAAAATTGCTGCTGCATTACCTGGAATGGAAACATTGTCTACCACTAAACAAGAAGATATGGTCGATGTGAACCTGAGGTCTTCTGGTAGCCATGAATCTCAACCTCAGTCGGGTGGCTGTTCTTGCTGAATGTGCCTTCTCTTAAGTTTTGTATCTTTTTTGCTTCATGCTATTTGTTTCGGAATGTGTTTGTCTCAAATCTGTAAAGATTTATTAGTCTTTTAGACTTGAACAGCATTACGTGAGGAAAAAAAAAAAAAAACGAGTGGAGAGGTAGCAGTGAAAGAACTAATATATAGTACAGATTGTTGTTTAATTGATTATTCATTATTGTTTTAGTTTAATTGGAAGATAAACATCATCATTGACACAAATACTTTCTTCCCATAATTATGAAAACCCGGCTAGGAATATATTAAAATTTACACTATTCCTAGGTGTGTCACTACAATACCTGAGTTTTATTTTTTTTTAAATGAATATCAATATCTTTGATGATTTATAAAATATTTATTAAATTACTAGTTCAAACAATAAATAGTTAGAATATTATATATTGATAATTCGATTTCATATGTATAAAAAATATTTTATTGGTAAAGATAAAATTTATTTTGGTGATCTCTATGCCATCTTAAAAGGATTAATCTTCAGTTATTGGCGGAAATACTTGAAGGAACTTAAAAAAATAGTTAGAATATTTGAATCTTTTCATGTTTACTACAGTGTTATCAAACCACCCCAATACATAAAAACCCTCTCAACTCATTTGGCCTTCTCTTTTGAGAACTCACCCTATTCCATGCCCTCAAGCATAAGATGTCTGCGTTGTTCAATGAAATCCCACGAAAAAGTGTTGTTGGCGCTAGAATCATGCAAAGGGATTCAACAGTTCAACCAAGTCCACGCTCAACTCATGGTTTCTGGTCTCTTCCAACACCCTTTTCCCGCCAGCAGAGCCATCAAGAAACTCTGCTCCGATTCCAGCATGTTCCCCCGCGCCATTTCCCTATTCGATTATCTCCATCAACCTGATGCTTTTCTCTGTAACACCATCATGCGATTCTACGCTCGTAAGCCTGATTTCTCTGCCGCTCTCAGTTTTTACTACCACAAAATGCTTGCTAGATGGGTCGACCCAAATCACTATACTTTCCCGCTTTTGATCAAAGTTTGCGCCGAGATTGGGTCTCTGCCAGAAGGCGAAAAGGGTCATGCCCGTGTTGTGAAATTCGGGTTTGAATCGGATGTATTTACTCTGAACTCTCTGATCCATATGTACTCGGTTTTCGGGAGAATTGGCAATGCCCAATTGCTGTTTGACAATAGTTTTAGGCTTGATTTGGTAAGTTATAATTCGATGATTGATGGGTATGTGAAGAATGGGGAAACCGTTGCTGCTCGTCAACTGTTCGATGAAATGCCTGAGAGGGATCTTTTTAGTTGGAATTGCATGATTGCTGGATATGTGGGGATTGGTGATATGGAAGCTGCAACTGAATTGTTTGAAAGAATGCCTGCCAGAGATGTGGTGTCTTGGAATTGCATGATTGATGGGTGTGCGAGGATTGGGAATGTTTCTCTGGCTCTTGAGCTTTTTGATCAAATGCCTGTGACTGTCAGGAATGAGGTTTCGTGGAATTCCATGTTGGCACTGTACGTGCGCGTAAAGAATTTTGATGAGTGTTTGAGACTGTTTGATAGAATGATGGAAAGAGGGGAAGCTATGCCGAATGAGGCTACCCTGGTGAGTGTGCTCACAGCGTGTGCAAATTTGGGGAGGCTCAATATGGGCATGTGGGTTCATTCTTTTATCAAAAGTAACAACATTAAACCTGATGTCTTACTTTCAACCTGTCTTCTTACAATGTATGCAAAATGTGGGGCTATGGATTTGGCTAGAGATGTTTTTGATGAGATGCCAGTCAGAAGCACTGTATCGTGGAACTCTATGATCATGGGATATGGCTTGCATGGCAATGGGGACAAAGCTCTTGAATTGTTCTTGGAGATGGAGAAGACAGGTCCGCAACCAAACGATGCTACTTTTATCAGTGTCTTGTCTGCATGTACACATGCCGGGATGGTCATGGAGGGTTGGTGGTACTTTGATCTCATGCATCGAGTTTACAAAATTGAACCCAAGCTTGAACACTATGGTTGCATGGTTGATCTCCTTGCTCGAGCTGGTTTGATGAAAAATTCAGAAGATCTTATAAGAAAGGTCCCTGTGAAGGCTGGATCTGCATTATGGGGAGCTCTACTTTCTGGTTGTAGTACCCACATAGACTCGGAGCTTGGAGAGATTGTAGCCAAGAGACTTATTGAGTTGGAACCACAGGATATTGGCCCTTATATATTGCTGTCAAATATATATGCTGCTCAAGGGAGATGGGATGATGTTGAACGTGTGAGATTGATGATTAAAGAAAAGAAATTACAGAAAGAAGTAGCGTCCAGCTTGGTTCATCTTGAAGATTTTGAATCTAAGTATTTTGTTAAGAATAATTCAGTCTATAGGAAAAGGATAATGTACTCAATGCTGGTTGAATTAGGAACGCAAATGAAATTATCCATTGGAGATTCAGTTGAGGAAGACAATTTTAGACCTAGATAAAAATTAGATTCTCTATATTACAGGCTTTTGGGAGAGAAGCAAAGTGCATGCTAAGGTATGAGATATTGAAGTAATGATTATGGATAAGAAAAATATGTCATAATAGAGACTGCCATTAAAGAATGATGTGTTGTGGAATGGAGATGTAATGATGATGAATTTGTAAGGTTGTGACGAAACAAAAGGATTTAGTAGATGCTGCAGGGTCCAGATTGGTTCTCCCAAAGATTTTGGATCTGAATTTTCTTGTGAAAGATAATTCATTTATTTGAAGAAGAATGCCTAGCTCAGTGTCTTGCAAAAATAAACGTCTCAGATATAATCATTACATAAAAATTCAGAGTAGAAAAGGAATATCTATACGATGAGTTGAAGACTGAATGCATAAATAAAATTTGATCAACTTTGTTTCTCAAGTGAAAATTCTTGCAAGGCAAGATTGTCGGGTCCTACCCCGCATATGAATTGGAGTTTTAAAGAGCGAGTTGCTGGTAGTAAGGACCAAGAAATTCAGTTTATGCTAATATATTGTTATCTGGTATCAGATTCCAGACTCTCCTTTCACCTTCCACGATAAAAGGATATCAAATAACTATATTTATTCATATCTGTATCTATGTATTCAAATGTTTGTAATTTTGAATTTTTCTAACTGTTTATTTCATGTACACTTATAAATTCCATGACAATGAATGAAACTTTAAGCTTTTCGAACAATATCTTTCTCTCTCTCTATATATAGGGTTTAGAGCTAGCAAATAAAAAGTTTCGGCAAGTGCTTTCTGTGAGCTGTTTATTATTTGGGAAAGCTGATTTATTCTCCCCATATATAGATAGATATTGTGCCCGTACTATATTTGCTCCATAATTGTTTGAAAGAAATAAAAGCATTATTATAATCTCCTTAGGACATTAGGCTTATAGATTTTAACCCTTTGTAATGAAACAAGTCATTTGTTTTTTCCAATTAATATTTCATAGCTTCTGTTTGGTGGCACAGGTATAATGGCGGAATCTTTCTTTAATGCTGAGTGACAACTTTGAGCATTTGGTTCCCCAAGTATTTCCGGTCTCAAGAGTATTGATATTCTATCTGTTTCTCCTAGTAATAATATTGAGCTGTACTGGTGCAATGCTCGATCTGTCTTTTGTTTACCTTGCGAGTGATTAAAGATAAGTCCAGTGGCTCAACTATTGATCAATTGAAAGCTACGTGGGAAACCAAGTGATATTTCAACATGTTTGCATGAGATTGAGATATTTTAAATTGTAAAATAATTACTTTAATAGTAATGCTATGGAGTAGGGTGACATGCATAGCATGTATTGCCCTTTTAGTAAGATCAAAGAGAATTTCCTCAGTCCTCACTACTAATTTTGAGAAAAACAATATTACAAGAGAGGGATAAAATAGGGTAAATCGACTGAACTTGATATGATGGCTTATTTATTTCTTTCATTACAGGGCAAAAGCATTTGCTGCTTCTCTATTGGTCCACTTGTACCCCGGAGTCGTATGTTTCTCCAGCCTTCCAGTCTTCTGGTATGTTATTAACAGGAACGACCCATGTTTCTTCTCCCTCTTCAGCACTAAACAACATCCTTAAAGACAAAGGTCCACTTGGTGGAGAGACAGTGGTCCAGACTGCTCCATGACTCCGATCAAGTAACTTGCATACAAAGTTCTGTGCCTGCACTCAGCAAAAGAGATTACAGTCATAACAATACTTATTCACCTAACTAACTGTACTTTTCTTTCTTAGTTTCTTTATTTATTTTTTGTGTACTTATTTCTTTATTGTATTGTGTCAAGTTGGTAACTAATACCTGTACTTCCATTTCAGTTGAATGATGAGTTGAAATATTAAGGATGTCTTATTCATATTTAGTGATTTCTATTTAAAAGTTAATTAATCGGTCAAAATTAACTAGTTTCATTACAGAAAATCAGTACAACTTAGCAAAGGACAAGGAAGAAGAAAGTACTTCACAGAGCTGCACAGCAGTTATGTCTCTCCTTCCTTGTTGATACCATATGACAAAAGCCAAGTAATGAGGGTTGTTGCTGCTCTCATCTATCTTAACTGTAATGTTTTTGTTGGGGTAGCTGCATGAAACACTGGAGATAACGAGACAGGCCTCTGTTAAGTCTTTAATTTATTGAATACATACAATTTCACATATAACAAAAATGCTAAAATATATTGATGCAGACATGAATTAAGAAGATTCTTCTATGTTTGGAAGAATATCTTACCGTCTGTATTCAATATCAACAACACCAAGAGCTAATAGAGAAGCAGCTGCGTCAGTGTTCTGAGCCATCCCACCAAAGGCTCGTTGGCTAAGAATGAAGTCGGTGTTACCTCCTGAGCCTTGGTCAGTTATAACTACAGTGACACCGTTGCCTGAGCAATAAGCACTTTTGGTACACCTCACCTGGAACATAATGAGATTTAGTACTTTCAAAGCTAGAATGTTTATTGTTAAGTTGCAAAGTGCTGTTGAAGAACTAGGTTTATGAATGTCAAAGGACCAAATGATAGAAATAACCAAAAATAAAAGAAGTTGTGTGTGTGTGTGTTTGTTTGTTAGAGTGAATCTACGTATAGGTTATGCATTAATTTGTTTTGTTACTATCATCAGAAAACATGCACGGTAAGTCTACGTTCTAGGACAATAATGTATTGATACATAACTAAAGCATCCTAGAGGAACTGTCTTCGTACGTAGTAATGCTAGCTTGATCAGCACTCACCTGGTAACAGGCACCACAGCCAACACCATTTCGATAAAGATTAGATGCAGCCGATACATCCCCTCCATTAATGGTAGCACCAAAGGAACCAAATCCACATGCACCAACTACAATGAATTCAAAAGGAGCATGTGAGAGAACATGTTTACAAATATCAGTTCATGTTTGCATTGTTGTTATTCTTCTATCAGTTTTCTTACCTTCTGTGCCATTTTGTTCAGAATTTGGGTAATATGCTGCCCGAGATTGAACAAGACAATCGGTGCATGAATTATCTGCTAAACTATGCATGAAAAGAGAGGTGGCAAGAAGAAGAGGACACAAGATAGAGAGAGCCATGTAGGGAAGAATGGTAAAAGCAATTTAGGTGAAGGAAAGCTTAGTCGTACATGAAGTGAAGCAGATTTCTCCTATTTATAGAGAGTTTGGTCAATGTTATTGTTACCAACTTTGACATTCCAAAGGTAAAGAAAAAAAAATATTCACATTTTGAATAAGAGGAATTTTGTTACCATTGTCTCTCAGCTACTTGCTTAGACTACAAGCTAATTGTCTTCATTTGATGTTGAAAACCACTTTCTGACCTTTCAAAATTTGTAGTTTCCCAGTTTCCCTTTCAGATATGGTTTGTTCTATTCAGCTGCTAATGATTTTTTCACTGCATTTCCTGTTACGGGAATTGCTTTACACCACTTTCCTGTACAGAGTTTTGAGTCCAAGTAAGACCCATACTAATGGATGGTCCCCTGTGCAAATATTATGTGGTCAGCCATTCCATTATTTTTGTTTTAGTTAGCAATATCTTTCTTTCTTCTCCACTTCCTTACAGGGTGGTTGAATAGTAAACTCATTTTCTTTTCTCAATATCCTGCATTATATTTCATTCTGTATTTCAAAACAGAACGTGGATGGATACGAAGTATAAGCTAAATTGTCGAGTCTTAAATAGCATTAGCCAACATTCATAGGCAAACACGTTTAATTATGAGTGTCAATTGACGTTTGCTCACCTAACAGGTAGGTTGAAACAATATTGAATTGTACTGAATTCAAAATATGTGGTAACCTGGCTTGGAACATAAGGAGGAAGAGTTAGGCCCTTCTGCACTTTGGTGACCCTATCTATGTTAGGCATACTTTTTAGTCCCACTTGGCCAAAGATCAAATAGCAAGGACCTTGATCTCTGTGTCGAAGGTGCGTAGAAGATGGCCTTTATACTTTATATCCATATAACTTAGATGATGTGTGTCAAGATACATTACACGGGGACACAAAGCAAAAGAAGCATACTCTCTTGGCATGATGAGAAAATGACCTTGGTCCTAGAGATATTCCTCCATAGATAGCACCTTTGCTAGGTCATTAAAAGGTCATTTCATAAGAATAGAGTATTTCGTGCCTATTTAACATGACCAGGTTACGTGCGAGACAATCTTAGTCGTACATAAACAAATTATCCTTTTTTCACTCTTTATTTGTATACTTTTTCTCTTTTGTCTCTCCTCACCATTGATTTATCTATGGACAACTTAAATTGTCTCACATGAGGTCATATAACACAAGAGGATGCATTCCTAACATGTCATACTCATACATTGTGGGGGTTCCTGTCATTATAGTGTTTTTTAGAAGCCAATATGTCTTGAAATTCATGGCAACCAGCTCCTTCTGGCTGCGGTCCTGCTGCCTAGTTTTCATAATTTATATGCAGAAAAATTTAGCCTAGGTGACTGCATAGTTCAATATATTGACGATTCCAAACGAAAGGGATTCTTAGAAAAGCTGTACATGTGCGCTGACAAAGACTGACATGATGGAAGTCCCTTGAACCACATCAGCAATGACATGGAAACCATTTTGGGGCTCTGAACCAAACGTGCCGATTGTTATCAATTTGAGCTGTGAAACAAAGAGAATAATAATCTCAACTTGTACTGAGGTCTTAGACCAACTAGAGAAATGGGTTGTTCGTATTGTCTATATCCCCCCCCTTCTTTCTTTATTTTTTTTAGTGTAATATATGATTGTTTGTATAAGAGTGGGATAAGAGCAAATGCAAAAAGTGGAATTGGCTATGTATATAGTGGACCATGATGTCATCACACCTCTCCCTTGAAGGATCTAAACGAAATGCATGCATTTACTGCTAACTAACTGATGTAGAACATATACATTAGAGTTATGCTCTTGTAAGGGCAGTGCTGTGAAATTGAGGTTCATCTTCACCCAATCCCGAGAATCCTGCACAACAAAAAGGATGAAATAACGGATTTTGCCACACCTTGGCAACCCTTGGGCAGTCTTTGAACATAGGGAGAATGGTCTCCCCTTTATCATGGCAAACATGGCAAATATCTGAGCTATTTCCCAATTTGGCAGTTCTGTCTCCGGTCAAAATTCTGCCATGGGCAGCTTTCCAAATGAGAAGCGTCATTCTTTCAACCCCTTTCCAAGTCCAAATTCTATCCCAAGGCATGGTGGAGTGGTCAATATTGAACTTCATCAAATTAAAGTAGACATGTTTAACTAGGGATGAACTCGGGTTTCTTGCCTTCCAAGCTAAGAAATCACATGCTAAAGCCTCAATATTGGGAGGGAAGAAACCCGAGTTCATCCCTAGTTAAACATGTCTACTTTAATTTGATGAAGTTTAATATTGCCCACTTTACCATGCCTATAGAATTTGAACTAAAAAGAGCCTTAAAGAATGAAGTTTCTTGTTTGGAAAGCTGCCCATGACAAGACAAAATTGCCAAATGGAGAAATAGCTCAAATAGATGTCATGTTTAACATGATAAAATTGAGACCATTCTCCATATATTCAAAGACTGTTAGGTGAGCAAAGGTCCCTTAGTTTCTTTGTTGTGTAGGATTCTCAAGTTTGGGTGAAGACAAACCTCAATTTCTACACTTGTGGTTGTTCTAATTGGAGGAATTCCTTCTTTGGTGTAACGCCCCGTCTGCAGCCGGTTAATTAACATACATATGATAGTGTGCGCAGCATGCTTAACTTAATTAATGCGGAAGCTAACCGAATAAATTATCTCTTTTTTCCTTATGTATTGCAAACTTTTTCACTTTCATGACTAAAATAAAACGGACAACATTTCCTCTGTATTTTGGACCGCTGTGGATAATTCCCACCAAGATAATTTGAACCTGATTGACAGTTTAATATAATCCAGGCATCCACCATATTTCCCAGCCATCCATGGCATAGGCTATCTCATAATCACAACAGGTCTCAAAATAATATCCATAGAGTTACTTACATAATTACATCAACCAACCAAAAGAAATGTAATCAGATAAGTAACCTAGACATATACAGATATAACTAACAAAATTGGTAAACTATCAACATGGCATAGACATCTCCTATGCTCTCAAAATAATGACATGGCATATAGATACATATCTAAAATACAACCATGTCAAATACGTATCAGCATAACAAGCCAATCCTGACTATCAGGTCAGGTAATATCTCTCGTCTGGCTTCTTGCCACGCTACGCCTCAGCACCATCAGCTCCTGTACCTAAAATGACAATCCCCATAACGCAGGGTGAGATAATATAATTACCTCAGTAAGCTAGGGACCCTTGGAGGGCTCCTCCACCCCTTAGCTCACTTCTGATATAAACACAGTATAAAAATCCATGCATGCATCAGAATATGTATGACAATGCAGTGTGCAATAATGTAATCCTACTGGCCAGGGAATATAACAAGTATGCATTACGCAAGGAAACACCGTCTTGCAACATACTGTATGAGGAAACACCGTCTCATACTATGCATAAGGAAACACCGTCTTATGCCTCACACAAGGAAACACCGTCTTGTGTGGCACACAAACATACATACATATACATGCAATATATAACATCATTTTCACATACCATATCAAACTACCATCCTCCCTCGGAGTCTGGTGGAACAAACGGGGGATTAACCCCAAGGACCGAAAGCTTACTTGGAATAGCTCTTTTCCTAGCCTCTTCCAAGTCAAAGGTCCACAAGCCAAAAAAATGCTCAACATACCTCAATCTCAAGTAATCAAGAGCCTAGCTCAATGTCCATGCTCTTGCTCCACAAGTCCACTTAGTCTCACACTATAACCAATTAACACATTTACATCATTATCCATCATCAATTCATATATACAGTATTGTTCATCTCTACAGTACTATTCACGTATACGTCACTATTCATGTATACGACAATATTCAAAAATATCGTATCTTTAATTTTTTCGAATATATTTTCACCGTTAAAATCTTCATCTAAACATTTTTCTCAACATGAGCTAAGCCTCAATCAAGCTCTAACATGCTCAATAACACCAAACTTTCAAAATGGAAACCTAAATTCAATCTTCATAAAATCATGAAAATGAAGGGAATTTCTTACCACAATGCACTCTAGAACAAAGGAGGGATGAGTCTCTAAGCTCCCATGGCCTCAAGCTCCATCAAAATCCCCATTTTCCATGAAATCTGAAATCTTAAAGGGAGAAAATCTCATCTACAGTGAACCCCACCCAGAAATACTGGTACCAATGGATTCCTCTCGAAATTTCTCACAAGTTTGACTTTGGAACAGAGTGATTTGGAGGTCTCTAGCTCAAGTTATGAATTTTGGAAGATTTTAAATCAAAATCTCCATTTTTTCCTTTTTTTTTTTGGCTCTTTGTCGTCGTCCGTGGAAGGAGGTTTGTTGTAGTGGGCCGGGTACATGTGAGCCCGTTCCAAAAATAGCAAAAAATAGGGAGTGAGAGGGAATTTTTAAAAAAGTGAGGGATTGAGAGGGAAGAAAAAATTTCCAAAAATAGAAAAAGGACCACAAAAAAAAGTGATCCCGGATCACTTTAAAAATTTCCCCGTAGGAGAAAAGAAGAACAATAACGTTTTTTTGAAAATTTTCACTATATAGGTTAAGTGAAATTCAACTAAGTAAAGGCTTATCTATCTACTCACCTCCATTCATTACCAAGCTTTACCCAATGGACTAGAATATTTTTCTAGTCATGTTTCTATTTTTACTTTCACTTTTTGAGTAATTTTGCCTACCCACATTTTTACCCTTTAACAGTCATTTTAACTCCTTTTTCACCAAAGGTGACTTTATTTCTTTTTCTTTCCTTATAATTATTTTTCAATATTAAATGCATAACTACATGTGAGGGTTATTATATTTGGGGTGTGTTGGTATCTTTGGAGTTGGAGAAAGGGAGAATTCATAAGGTTAACTTCATGAGACCTACACTTGATTATATTGTGATTGTCAAATGTCTATAGTGTTGGGCAAGTGGCTTCTTACACAGGACGCTTACGGAACACCTAGGGGGGGTGAATAGGTGTTCTAAACTTTTTCAAAAACTTTTTGAATT